GGAGGGACATGATAACAACCTTTGAGGGGGGGGGGTCTGCCTATTTTCCAAAGCACCTGAAGGCAGGACAAGAAGCAACGGATGGAAACTAATCAAGGAGAGAAGCAGCCTAGAATTAAGGAGAAATTTCCTGACAGTGAGAACAATTAATCAGTGGAACAACTTGTTTTTCAGAAGTTGTGGGTGCTCCATCACTGGAAGCTTTTAAGAAGAGACTGGACAGCCATTTATCTGAAATGGTATACGGTTTCCTGCCTGAGTAGAGGGTTGGACTACAAGACCTCCGAGGTCCCTTCCAGCTCTTATTATTTTGTTAAAACTGTTCTCTTGGTCCAGATGGCTGGATTCGTCTTGCAAACCAAAAGTTTATATCGTAAGTAAACGATAAAAGGCTGCCGTGAGTTGATCTTGGTTTTTGGCTGCGGTCAGATTTGACTTTTTGACAAGTATGTGTGAGTGGTTGGATGTTGCCTTCTTCCAAGATGTTTTTCCAAATTCTCAACCCAGCTTACAAATCCTGAGACTTCCTGGTAACTCAACTACAAACCAGATCCCACCCTGCTTAGCTTTGCAGCCTAGATAAGGCTGGTCACCCGGCTGTAATAGCTGCACGGAACCTAATGGAGCATCCTTCCGACAGGACACCCATGGAATTAATTTGTTAAGGGACTAACTGGGGGATCAATCACTATCTTCAAAGAGGACTTTTTATCTGTCTTCCAGGAATTCTGAGAGACCCTCCCTACATTTTGCAATGTCTACTTCTTCTGATGCTTTGATGGACATCTACACATAGCTTCCTTGGCAGCAAGATGGAAGTTATTTCTCACTATCTTTTTCTGGATGTTTTTCAACTTCACTGTGTAACTTAATATCCTGGGATAGCTTGCTTGCCTCTGGATATCTCATCCTCACTTTTAATTCTGGTTGTAATGATTGAGGAGGCTAGAACTGTTACGGCAAAATACAGTGGTACCTTGGTACTCAACATTAATTGGTTCAGGGAGGTGCAATGAGTAACTAGAATAGAATAGAATAGAATAGAATAGAATAGAACTGGAAGGGACCTTGGAGGTCTTCTAGTCCAGCCTCCCCCCCCCTCAAGCAGGAGAACCTATACCATCTCAGACAGGTGAATGTTTAGTCTCTTCTTAAAAATCTCCAGTGATGGAGCACCCACAATTTCTGGAGGGAAGCTGTTCCACTGGTTGATTGTCCTCACTGTCAGGAAGTTTCTCCTTAATTCCAGGTTGCTTCTCTCCTTGACCAGTTTCCAACCATTGTTTCTCATCCTTCCCTCTGGTGCTCTGGTGAATAACCTGGCCCCCTCTGCCTTGTGGCAGCCCCTCAGATACTGGAACACTACTATCATGTCTCCCCTATTTCTTCTTTTCTTTAGACTAGCCAAACCCAAGTCCTGCAGCCGTTCTTCCTATGTTTTAGTCTCCAGGCCTTGGATCATCTTAGTTGCTCTTCTCTGAATTTTTTCCAAACTCTCAACATCTTTATTGTGATAAGATGACCAAAATTGGCTGCAGTATTCCAGGTGTGGTCTTACTAGGGTTTTATAAAGTGGTAATAACAAATGATGAGTATCAAACAAATTTTTCCCATAAGGAATAATGTAGTGAGTCACAAGGTAGCTGATATCAACAAGTTCTAGCTCATATATTGAGTATCAAACAAACGATGTACAGGGATAAAATGTTCGCAACTAAATGCACCAAATTCAATGAGTTTCAAAGCAGTTTGATATCAAGATAATGTAGAAATATACACTTATCTTTTGTAAATAGAAATACATGCTTATCTTTTGCCTAGGAGTGTTTTTATGTCTCCTGATCTCCACATCCAAATATACTAATCTGGATGTAACGTTGAAATGAAAAATTTTAAAATACTTGTTGATCTGGAACAAATTCTCTACTCTTCTTGTAGGAGTGGCCAAACAAACCTGGTCTGTCATGGTTTGAATTGGGATTGCTGCTTTATGATTCTAAATTCTTAGGAGACTACCAACTTCGGGATCCTTGATAGAACATAATGCTAATTGAAACTTAAGAGAGTCTTTCAGGTTTATTTATAAAGCCAAGACTTGATTTTTGAATTAACTGCATTTATGCAATTTCCTTGGCTAACCATTGCCTTCTTTCAAACAGCTCTACTATCCCAGTTCAATAGCCCTACAAACCATCCGGGGTTCCAACAGTGATTGATTGCAGTTGGCTTCTAGTCGTCACTAGCCAAGATCAGTTCTGTGCTGCCACCTGCTGGATTTTCCCAAATTTAGTTACTCTTCATGGTTGGAAGAGACCAGCATGAATGCATGGCTAGAGAGTTCAGATTCTACAATTCATAATTCTAATTAAATGCACCAGTGCGTTAGTGCTACTTACACAGGCAATTAAATTATCCTTTGTTGCAGCCGTGTCAAAACATGCTTCACCCAGCTTGCTAGATTAAGCCACGAGAATGCATTTCCTAATTTAACATAGGTTGGGATGCTCTGGTATTAAGCCATTGCAAAGTCAAATTGAAATCAAATCAGTCAAGTCAATCACTATGGCCATAAAAACAGCAAAGTATTGGTCTTGTCACAGCTTCTTTTTTCCAAGGCTGGCATGTTTTGTGGATCCAGTCATCTCTCACTAGTCAACAGAGAACTGGAATTTTAGACTTTAGGAAATACTTTATTCCTGCTCGAAGTCCAGGAAGCTGTTGATCTGCCAATGGGTTACATCAGGGGGTCTTTAAACTTGGCCCTTTTATGACTTGTGGACTTCAACTCCCAGAATTCCTCAGCCAGCTTTGCTGGGAGTTGAGGTCCACGAGTCATAAAAGAGCCAAGGTTGCCTACCCCTGGCCTAGGTGGTCTATTAACCTCATTGGGATGATTCTATTGTGTTTTTCAGGTAGTCCTCGAATTATGGCCACAATGGAGCCCAACATTTCTGTTGCTAAGCGAGACCGTTGTTAAGTGAATTTTGCCCATTTTACAACCTTTCTTGTCCCAGTGGTCAAGTCAGTAACCCAGTTGTTAAGTGAATCTGGTTTCCCCATTGACTTTCCTTGTTAAAGGGGATCACGTGACCCCGGGACACGGCAAACCGTCATAAATACGAGTCAGTTGCCAGGAGTCAGAATTTTGATCACATGACCACAGGGATGCTGCAACAGTTGTGAGTGCGAAAAATGACTGTAAGTCACTTTTTTCAGCTCTGTTTTAACGTCAGTCGCTAAATGGAACTGCTGTTAAGTCGAGGACTACCTGAACTGTGAATTAAATAGTCCAATGTCAACATGGTTGTGTTCACCTAAGAGGCTTGACTCATTTGCTAGGTTGACACAACATATTATAAGACCCCAAAATCTAACCAGGATGGACATTATAATAATAATAATAATAATAATAATAATAATAATAATAATAATAATAATAATAATAATAATAATAATAGTAGTAGTAGTAGTAGCAGTAGTAAAGTTGGAAGGGACCTTGGAGGTCATCTAGTCCAACCCCCTGCTCGGGCAGGAAACCCTACACCATTTCGGACAAATGGCTGTCCAGTCTCTTCTTAAAAACTGCCAGTGTTGGAGCATTTACTGCTTCTGGAGGCAAGCTGTTCCACTGATTAATTGTTCTCACTGTCAGGAAGTTTCTCCTTAGTTCTAGGTTGCTTCTCTCCTTGATTAGTTTCCACCCGTTGCCTTAATCCAACTTAACATATCATGTAAATATCCTGGCTAAGTTTGTACAGGCAGTCCTCGACTTACGACCACAACTGACCCCCAAAATTTATGTTGCTAAGTGAAACACTTGCTAAGTGAGTTTTGCCCCATTTTATGACACTTGCCACGGTTGTTAAGCGAATCACGGCAATTGTTAAGTTAGCAATAACACAGTTGTTAAAGTGGACTCTGGCTTCTCCACTGACTTTGCTTCTCAGAAGGACACAAACAGGGATCACGTGACTTTGGGACACTGCAACCGTCCTAAGTTCATGCCAGTTGCCAAGCGTATAAATTTTGATCACGTGACCACGGGGAGGCTGCCACGGTCGTCAGAGCGAAAAATGTTCCTAAGTCGCTTTTTTTTCAGCGCCATTGTAACTCTGGTCACTAAATGAACTGTTGTAAGTTGAGGACTGCCTGCATTTGACCTGGGTGCACGGGTTGTGTGAATACGGCTAGAATGTAGTACAGTGATGGCGAACCTTTTAGAGACCGAGTGCCCAAACTGCAACCCAAAACCCACTTATCACCGGGTGCCAGGTGGGCGTGGCCCACTGGGTGGGCGTGGCTGTGGTGGTCATGGCAGACTGGGTGGGTGTGGCCAAGGTGGGTGTGGGGAGGGATGCCTGTGGGGGCCGGTCAGGGTTGGGGGAGATCCAAGGGGTCTCTGGCAGGTGGGGCGGTGGGCAGGAGGGCCGTCCTGCGGGGTGAGGCGAGGCGAGGCAGGGTGGGGGTCCCATTGTCGCAGGGCAAGGCAAGGCAGGAGCCGGGGCGGCTGCTGCCTGACACCATCGGCCCGCGCACATAGAGGCCAGCGAGCGCATGGGGGCCGACAGTGTCCGTTAGCAGCCACAGCCTGCCGCCCCCTTGACTGGCACACTCTGGGGCTCCGCATCCCACCACCAGCAGTTCAGAAAAGCCGCCTCTGAGCTGGACGGCTGGCCGACAACTGAGGAGGCGATGCAGTGGGTCGTGCCCGGGAAAAGGAGAGCATGCGAGGCCAGGAGGGATGGGACGGGGGGCGGGAAACCAGCCATGCTGGGATGCATCCAGCCACATGGGACCTCAGTGAGTTAGCGGTCAGCTGGTTGAAGAGGGACAGTTGCCATCTCCGGGGCATGGTGCGCGTGCCCACAGAGAGGGCTCTGAGTGCCGCCTCTGGCACGCGTGCCATAGGTTCACCCCCACTGATCTAGTACGGAGCCAGAGGCAACCTGGTTTGAACTCAACCGCTGCAATAACACAAAGAGGAAAAATCCGGGACTTGCCTTGTAAATACACGACTTGGCATTCAGGAAAAACAACTCGATGGTGGCGTTATCCTTCAGGTAAGATATGCTCTCAATGTAGAACCTGGGAATGAAACAGACAAGTCAAATCAACTCAGAAAGGAAAGCGTGGCTGCCAAATAAATAAAGGAGCCTTTATTCAATTTGTTTTTATCTTGATGTGAAAAAAATGCCGCTTGGTGGAAGCTTCAAGGCTAAAAGAGAAGAGAATTCCTTTTCTTTCGGTGATTGTGTTATGACTGTCGGGAAGATTTGTGGGTCCCTTAAGACACCATCCGTCAGCATTGCCGATACCGGGATGTCCCGGCCAACAGCAAAGGCATTAACTGCTTGTTCTATTTCACAGACTGATTTATCGCTCCATAAATATTTTAGGCTGAGGTTGTTTACTTTCCCCCAGTCATTGTCCTTCATGCTTGCACTGCTGGGCTGCCTCAGAGCAAGGGATGAATCATAAGGTGAGAATATCTGCTTTTCAAAGAGCTTTTGAGGGAAAGGATGAAGAAGGTACAATAGCTGGATGTTGGTTTAAAATGGACATACTGTAACCTGAAATATATTTTTTTTTAATGGTGTGCTGAATTGATCGAGGACTGCATGATGTAGGGTGAACCTGGATCAGAGGAACTGAACATAGAGCAAACCCCACTCCCTTCTCACTTGCTTCTCAGAAAGGGATCATGTGACCCTGGGACACTGCAACCGTCCTAAGTACATGCCAGTTGCCAAGTGTATGAATTTTGATCACATGACCCCGGGGATGCTGCAACCGTCGTAAGTGCGAAAAAGGTCATGTCACTTTTTCCACTGCTGTTGTAACTTCGGTCACTAAATGAATGTTTGTAAGTCAAGGACTATCTGTGTCAGCCTGCAATACAGTAACATAAAGCATTAAAAGCACGCAAGTCTTTCCCAAGGGATCTCTGCATACTATCTGAGTTTTCTTACTCTTGCAATCTTTAATCTACTTACCGAACTTTCTCACAAAATCAGATTCATCTCTGTTATTTAGTTTGATTTAAACCTCAGAGTCTTCCTAAAAGCTTCGGAGAATGCTCATTACTTGAATGTGTGTTTGATCTTCTTAACAAACTGTAGGTCGTTAGCCTTCCCCTTTTATTGATTGAGAACCCGATCGATAAGACCTCTGCGGTACGTGCTCTGTAACGTTCGGTTCACATTGCAGGACTTCGGTGGACATTGCTAATTTATATAATAAATGGGACTGTCCCAAAATCTCCTTGTGCGCTTCATCACAAAGATGGAAAATAAAATGACTCGGCTTTTGAATATCCATCCTCAAACTGAAATGTTCCTTAAGTACTCCTTGCAACGTTTATCTCACCAATACGCTCATCAAAGAATGAAGGCAAAAAAGACATTCAAATAAAAAAGTTTCGGAATAACTGAGTGGCCCTGATGACTCCCTGGATGGACAGAGAGGGATTTTAATTAGGATATCTAAGGATTATGATGAACATGAGCCGAATATGGGAAAGCAAGGACATCACAGCCTGACAACCAAATGTAGTAGTAAATAATAATAATAATAGCAGTAGTAGTAGTAGTAGTAGTAGTAGTAGTAAATGCATATAAAGTCAAAATTGAGAAGACAGCAACAGACAGTAAGTGCCGCCTATGCAAAGAAGCTGAAGAAACAGTGGACCACCTGGTAAGCTGCTGCAAGAAGATTGCACAGATTGACTACAAGCAGCGGCATGACAAAGTAGCAACAATGGTGCATTGGAAGATCTGCAAGAAATATCATTTGCCTGTAAGCAAGAACTGGTGGGATCATAAAATAGAGAAAGTCATAGAAAATGAAAAAAAATTAAACTGCTCTGGGACTTCAGAATTCAAACAGACAAGCACCTGTAACATAACACCCCGGACTTAACAACTGTCGATAAAAAAGACAAAAAAATCTGGAGAGTGGACGTGGCAGTGCCTGGAGACAGCAGAATAGACGAGAAAGAACTGGAGAAGATAACAAAATAGAAAGATCTAAAAATAGAAATAGAAAGACTGTGGCAAAGGCAAGCAAGGGTAGTACCAATAGTAATAGGCGCCTTGGGTACAATCCCAAAACAACTGGAGCACCACTTGAACACCATTGGCATTGACAAATTTGCCATTAGTCAATTGCAAAAGGCGGCCTTACTAGGAACTGCTTCCATCCTGTGACGATATCTGTAATACCATCAAACATCCACATCTGCCTATCCCAGGTCCTTGTTAAGGACTCGATAGGTAGACAAAATGCCAAATCCAGTCTGAATATCTGGCTGACTGTGCAATGATCAATAATAATAATAATGATAATGATGATGATGATGATGATAATAATAATAATAATAATAATAATAATAATAATAATAATAATAATAATAAAGTTGGAAGGGACCTTGGAGGTCATCTAGTCCAACCCCCTGCTCAGGCAGGAAACCCTATACCATTTCAGACAAATGGCCGTCCAGTCTCTTCTTAAAAACTTCCAGTGTTGGAGGATTCACAACTTCTGGAGGCAGGCTGTTCCACTGGTTAATTGTTCTAACTGTCAGGAAATTTCTCCTTAGTTCCAGGTTGCTTCTCTCCTTGATTAGTTTCCATCCATTGCTTCTTGTCCTGCCTTCAGGCGCTTTGGAGAATAGCTTGACTCCCTCTTCTTTGGGGCAGCCCCTGAGATACTGGAACGCTGCTATCATGTCCCCCCTCATCCTTCTCTTCATTAGACTAGACATGCCCAATTCCTGCAACCATTCTTCATATGTTTTAGACTCCATTCCCTTAATCCTCTTTGTTGCTCTTCTCTGTACTCTTTCTAGAGTCTGTTTTGTTCCCCGTGGCTACCTATGGTTGTGACAATGGGACCTTAAAAAAGCAAGACAGGAAGAAAATCAACTTGTTTGAGCTGTGGTGCTGGAGAAGTCTCCTTCCTATTCCTTTGACAGCAAAGGTGACCAACAAGCAAGAAGTGGAGCACATAGCACCAGGAATGTCACGGGAAGGCAAAGTCACAAAACTGCATCTCACTTATTCTGGCCATGTCATACAGGGGAATTCACTGGAGAAAGCCATTGTATTTGAAAGGGTTAGCGGTAAAAGGAAACCAGCCTGCCAAAGAACACCATATCAAAGCCGACCCCAGCCAGAGCATCAAACAACTCAAAGAAGCGAGAGATTGGAAAATGTGGCCCATACACAAGGACGGAAAGAAAACCCCCCTTGCTTTGAGAAAGAGTCCTGATGCCAATTTCCTAACAGGAATAATTACACGTAAGAGCAGTGGTTCTCAACCTTTTTAATGCCGCGACCCCCAACTGGTCGTAAGTCGAGGACTACTCAACCGGTCGTAAGTTGAGGACTACTCAACTGGTGCAGCACCGTTTGCAGAATGGGACTTTTGGCGGGCTCAGCAGGGCAGAGACAGCCTGGACAATTCCTATTGGCTTTTGAAGCCAATAGAATTAGACTCTGTTCAAGAGAGTCTATTCTATTGGCTTTCAAAAGCCAATAGAATAAAAGGGAGGAGCACAGCTAAGGAAAAGGGGGGAAAAAATGGCGGACTGCGTTGTTTGGTGACCTCCGTGAAATGGTTGTTCGACCCCAAATGGGGTCCCGACCCACAGGTTGAGAACCACTGCGTAAGAGAGAATTTGCCCAAATTATGCAAGGCGGGGCTAACAATTAAGGAAGTTAATGACCAGGAAGGCTGTATAGAGAGAAGCATAAAGTAAAGATGGGTATCCTGTCTGGCTTGTGGATTTTCCAGCAGTGTTCAATGCTGGCCAGTCTGAATGCGGAAGCCTGGATGAGGTGGGCTAGAACAGTGAGGAACAAACAACTATGTAAAATGGTTTTTTTGGTGTCCGAGAATATATGAATGTGAGTGAAACAAAGAAAATGCTTCTGGGAAACACCAGAGGGCAGTATTGCACTTCTTAAAATTCTAAGACTTTTGAAAACCAGCCCAATTTCTAGAAATAAAAGACCAGGAAGTTTAACTGCAAAGAAAGAAAGAAAGAAAGAAAGAAAGAAAGAAAGAAAGAAAGAAAGAAAGAAAGAAAGAAAGAAAGAAAGAAAGAAAGAAATTGGTATCTCTGTCCTTTCCACCACCTCTCTCATTAGCTTTGTTCAAAATGTTGGACGATGTTGGACGAAGTGTGAATGGTGGAGATTTACTGAGCAGAAGATTTCTGCTATTTGGTTAAAACCCCCCCCCCATATCAGGTTTTCTCCAAGGTTACAGGCAATCTGATACCCTCCAAATATTTTTTTGGATAAGGTTCCTCGTTGCTGCCATGTTGGATGTTAAGTCAAACAATCTGTTAGAAATATCTCTAAGCCTTACAGCACTTTTGATGCAAAACAGAGTGTTAGTTTGGTGTAATAATGAAGGTGCTTGCCTAGAAACCAGGAGGTGGTGAGTTCTAGTTGCTCCTTAGGAACAAAAGCTGGCTGGGCCCATCACCAGGAGACTAGAAGTTCTGGACCTGCTTTAGGTACACAAGCCAGCTGTGTGACATTGGGCCAATCAGCAAGAGACAGTGAGTTCTAGTCCCGCCTTAGCCATGAAAACTGGTTGGGTGACTTTAGGCCAATCACCAGGAGATGGTGATTTCTAGTCCTGCCTTAGCCATGAAAACTGGTTGGGTGAATTTGGCCCAATCACCAGGAGACGGGGAGTTTAGTCCCGCCTTAGCCATGAAAACTGGCTGGGTGGGTGAATTTGGCCCAATCACCAGGAGACGGTGAGTTCTAGTTCTACCTTAGCCATGAAAACCAGTTGGCTGACTTTAGGCCCATCACCAGGAGACTGGGAGTTCTAGTCCCGCATCAGGCATGAAAACTGGGTGGGTGACTTTGGGCCTGTCCCTCTCTCTCAGCCCAGCCCAACCCACCTTACAGGGCTGTTGTTGTTGGGAAAATTGAAGGAGGAATGAGTACGTATGATTGCCGCCTTGAATTATTTATAAAGTAATACAGGCGGGATAAGAATCTAATAAATAAATAAAATAAAATACTTTTCCCTCACCAGATGCCCTTTGTACAGCCTAGACCAGGGGTAGGCAACCTTGGCTCTTTTATGCTGGCTCAGGAATTGTGGGAGTTGGAGGTCCACGAGTCATAAAAGAGCCAAGGTTGCTTATCCCTGGCCCAGACCGTAAGTGACAACCGCACTAATCTTTGCCCAATCTAGCTGATTCTTGTGACTATCGAACTATTGTGCATATCTTAACCCAGGGGTAGGCAACCTCGGCTCTTTTATGATTCGTGGACTTGAAGTCCACGAGCCGAGGTTGCCTACCCCTGTCTTAACCCAAGTTAAGGGAGACCAGGATAACTCATCTGATGAAGCATTCTCCATTTTGTGACCGTAATATTACGACCGCATAAGCCACAAACCCGGTGTGGCTTGAACTCTGCAGTGTCTGCAGCGAGATTGCTTATGACATTCCAGTCTGTAAAGCCTAATGCAGTCTGATCGATTTCCGAGCAGACGCTAGGAAAGGAAAGGGCCGCTAGGCTAACAGCCAAGCCGTAATGGTTGAAACGAAAGTTAGTCTCCTGCAAACAGATTCCTCTACTTGGAAGGAATATGTTGAATAACAAGGGCTTTATCGTTTTGATGAGGGCGCCTCTACGTGCCCTCGTCTTGATGGCTGGTTCTTAGGGACCACACAGATCTTCTCCAAGATGTTCTGTCCCCATCCCGAAGCTTCAGGTCTTACAATGGTTCAGCTCTCACTATTGTGATAGATTCACTCCCTCCCTCCCTTCCTATCTCCTCCCTTCCCCATCTCCTTCCTTCCTTCCTTCCTTCCTTCCTTCCTTCCTTCCTTCCTTCCTTCCTTCCTTCCTTCCTTCCTCCCCATCTCCTTTCTTTCTTCTTTCCCTCCTTCCTTCCTTCTTTGCTTTCTTCCTTCTTTCCTTCCCTTCCTTCCTCATCTCCTTTCTTCCTTCCCCATCTCCTTCCTTCCTTCCTTCCTTCCTTCCTTCCTTCCTTCCTTCCTTCCTTCGCATCTCCTTTCTTCCTTTCCCATCTTCTTCCTTGCTTCCTTCCCTATCTCCTTTCTTCCTTTCCTTCCTTCCCTTCCTTCCTCCCCATCTCCTTTCTTCCTTCCCCATCTCCTTCCTTCCTTCCTTCCTTCCTTCCTTCCTTCCTTCCTTCCTTCCTTCCTTCCTTCCTTCCCCATCTCCTTCCCTCCTTCCTTCCTTTCCTTCCTTCCCCATCTCCTCCCTTCCTTCCCTCCCTCCCTCCCTCCCTTCCCCATCTTCTACTATGTGAACACCTTGACAGGTTGGTTCCTTTCCTTTTTTGTGTTGTTTACAGTGCCTCAGAACTCATTTCTCTGGTTGTGACTGTTCTCACTTTTGCACCAGTGGTTAAACTACGGGCTTATCCATTTAATGAATAACTCTTTCCAAACCAGGAATCTGCTATGACGATGGCAAAAGTATCAGCACGATTGGGATAAAAAAATAAATAAATCACCTCCCTTTACAAAACACAGAAAAAGTGTGGCAGTTCAAATTCAAAGTTGTGGCTTTTATCTTGACTTTTTTTTTTGACCATCCCCAGGGACCCCCCCTTTGTAATGACTTTCTGAATCCTAATTGGTAGTCAAAATCTGATGTTCAATTAGGCCTCGGTGCAATAGGTGAAATAATAAAATCCGCTAATAAGATAAATAGATTCATTTGGAAAGATAACTTGTCCAAATTCATCCTCACCTGACACAGAAGTATAAAACCACCAATCCAGACTTTTTAGGGAAATCATGTTCCAGCACTCGACGATCCAACTGAAGCCAGTTCAAATGGCCCCTGGTTAAACCACAAAACAGAGAAACAGTGATTAGAACATCAAACCATTTTGTGTCATTTGATGTTATTGCATTGCATTGACCAGAGTCACCTTCCTTGTAGGGAAGATGGGCAGAATAAAAATTGAACAAACGAGTGAATGAGTGAACAAACGAACAAACAAATAAATAGTGTTACCTCTCCCCTGCCATTCCTGTAGGAACTTAAGGTAGTACACCTGGTTCTCTCCGCCACCATTTTTTAAAATCTTTGTGTTTAAAGATTAAACCAAAGATTAAATTAAATTAAGTAAACCTTCTGAGGAAGATTAGATTGAGAGACAGTGACTTAAGTCTCCTTGAATGAGGACTTCAATTGGGGTCTCCTTAAACCTAGTCAAACACCTCAGTCGTTACTGTCCACTGCCTCTCTAACAAAAACTTCATCCGATTCAGCTTCCCTAACCTAAACATTTCCAGATATGGTGGGACCTCAACTCCCATGTTTTTTACACCGGGGTTAAGAACCGTGGGAGTCAAAGATCGATACATCTGGGCAAGGAAAACTGGTTTGCAATGATCAAGCATAAAGCGTTCAATAAAAATGCAACCAGGTACTACAGGATAGAATGACGTTTGAGGCAGAAATACAGCACACAGCTGGGGATGGCTGTGGTATCATTTAACACAGAAAGTTCAACCTGTCAAGGTGAGAACTGGAGATGGAGAAGTGGAGAGGAGAAGAGATAAGAGTCAGGGCTCTTCCTTGCTGTCCTGACCACCCTTTGTGGGACTGGAGAACTGAAAGTCTCTCAGTTTTTTTCTATTAAACACTGTTCATGCCAGGAGTTTATACAAGGCCGGGAAGATTCCTCCGTAGGCTAAAACATGGCCAAACAACGTCTCAGACATTTTATTTGCCATCCGGTATGTCTGGAACAGCCTTGCAAATAAACTCTGTCAAACTGGCTTTCGAGAGCTTTGGGAAAACACAGCTGCTCCGCTCTTGCACGCTCAGAATGAGCAGCAGTTACTACGGGCTGCGCTCGGCGATGCTATTTTGGGTCATTTTCTTTGATTAAGCTGGAAGTAGTCAAAAGAGTTGTTTGATTGTATAGAGGGAGGGTTCTCGACTTCGGGGGTCTTGAGTCCCTTCTAATCCCACTGTCAAAAGAAACCGGGTCTCGCTGCCCAAAACTCCCACTTTTGCTGAAAAAGACAGTTAAAGCGTTTGCAGATGTTGGGTGTTTTATCGCTTAGGATAAATTTTACAACTTAAAAATAATGGCAGCAAAAACCCTGACAATTATCCTGTCAATGTAAAATGCCGAGGGGGTAGGATAACTACAGCTGAAATAAGATCACTAAAGAGGGAACATCTTCTTGTAAGCTCAAACCAAAAAATATGAAGAGAGAGAGAGAGAGGGAAAGAGAGAGAGAGAGAGACAGACAGACAGAATAACAGAATTGGAAGGGACCTTTGAGGTTGTCTAGTCCAACCCCCTGCCCAAGCAGGAGAAATTGGTTGTCCAACTTCTTAAAAACCTTTAGTATTGGAGCATTCAGAATTTCTGGAGGCAAGTTGTTCCACTGATTTAATTGATCTAATACCAAGCAGGATTATTTGATTTTGACTCCTAAACTCTCAGAGGCTGCTTCAGCTTGGATTGTGGAAAAATCTCTGGTCAGATTCTTTCCTTATTTCTCCATTGTCTGTTAGGTTTTCCTCTGCCCCCAATAATTCCATTTAGATTATTTCTGTGTTGAACCGACAGCATGTTGGAAAACGCTATCTTTTAAGAAGTAGAATAGTGACTCTGACAGGTAGGAACCCTTGGCCTATGACTGAATATGCCCATGGGTTACAAGATTAGGGATCTATCCATTCCGGTAAGGTCTCTACAGTTACATGGGCCTATGTAGTTAAAGTCCCTTTAAAGAAATGAAACCAATATTTTTTCTTGCAATGATTGTGTCCAAAATCTTTGTCTTGGATTAACATCAGAATAAGCATCCATGCTAGCTGGAGTCAGAAACTAGAAGAATTCAGGTTAAATTATGTATAGATTGTCCTTTGCTCTTGGGTGAGACGGGCGGTTAGAAAAGCATCATTATAGAGATGCACGTGATATTCCTAGATGGCCCTTCCTCTTAGCATCGTCTCCATCTTATCATAGAGTCTAGGACAGGCAACCTTGGCTCTTTTATGACTTGTGGACTTCAACTCCCAGAATTCCTAAGCCAGCATGGCTCAGCTTGGAAACTTCTCCCTTTCCCCTCAGCATGGCTGGCTCAGGAATTCTGGGAGTTGAAGTCCACGAGTCATGAAAGAGCCAAGGTTGCCTACCTCTGGGCTAGGCCTAGGCTGCTTTATGACTCGTGGACTTCAACTCCCAGAATTCCTGAGCCAGCATGGGTCAGCATGGAAACCTCTCCCTTTCCCCTCAGCATGGCTGGCTCAGGAATTCTGGGAGTTGAAGTCCACGAGTCATAAAAGAGCCAAGATTGCCTACCATTTCAGACAAATGGCTGTCCAGTCTTTTCCTAAAAAGCTTCCAGTGTTGGAGCATTCACCACTTCTGGAGGCAGGTTGTTCCACTGATTAATTGTTTTATACATGTTGCTATCTGATCTTTACGGACATCTAGAATTTTTAATAGCCTGATGTAAATGTTAAAAAAAAAATAATCTGAGATGTGTTTGCTCACTCGCAAAACCTCCATTTTTCAAAAAGTAACTCCTAAGCATGCTTTCACCCAGCCATATAATCATCTAAAGCTGAGATCTTGCAGAAGATCAAGAGGATATAAATATTTATGGAGCTAAATACACGAACGTGGCAAAGGCGTGCAGGCTGACAGAATAATTCTTGAAGAATTAACTTGATTTCTTGGGTGCTCAAATTTTAGCAGGCTGGATTTAACGCCATTGTATGTTTCTCTGCTCCTCTCCCTCCCAATAGCACAAAGCTCAGTGTTGTTATATGTCAAAGAACTTTCAAAAGTGTGTGACAATTTAATTTGGGTCACTAGTCTAGACTGGAGGTCTTCAAACTTGGCAACTTTAAGACTTGTGGACTTCGACTCCCAGAATTCCTCAGCCAAAATTAAAAGTCCCTGGTAGCAAGTCTGTTCCTATGGTTTTGCTGGCCTGATCTCCTGTGCTAAGAAAGTGGAGGAATGAAAATCCTTCATAACAAGTCATTTTTAACTAAATTACCCTTGCAAAACTTTCCTCCTGAGCTGAAGAATCACCTTTATGTGATTTAGAATTGCAGAAAGCAGCAAGTTTCTCATTTCCTTTCAACACAGGCTAAACCAACAATTCCAATTCTGGTAGCCTCTTGATGCTGGAGAATTAATAGCCAGGCTACAGGATCCCAAAGTAAAGTAGGCAGGTAGCCATAAATCAGGATGAACACGTTTTATGAAAAGGCATCCATTTTCATGACGATCTTGAGCTATGTGAGAATAGATGAGTTTTCTTAACATTTGTTTTGCTGGAAAAATGGACTATGAATCAAGTTTGAGGAAAGTCAATTGGCACCAAATGAATAGATGTAGGTTTAGATGTTTTAAAATCAACCTTCATGTTTTAACATGGGTAGGTAAATTTAGTCTCCTTCAAGTCACAATGGACTCCTAGGGATTTCATGAATGTGGTTTCCTTGGCAACAGTACAGAAGCGGTCTCACGCTGTCTTCCTTTGACTTATTTTTATGATTTTTCCAGAGTTATAAGCCCTATCATTTCTGTCCAGGTACTATCCTGGCTAGTTTCTGAGCCAAACAAGGTCAGCCAGATGGGGTTGACTTTCTGAACCCGGAGAATTTAAGGAAACGGTATTTTTCTTGTTTAAAAAAACTTCTCTGATATACCTGGAATCCACCAAGATTACTATCGCTTTTCTAATGGCTTGTACAACAGAGACAATAGATGTGCTTCTGCTCCTTTAACACCTTCCGTCTCTTATGCATATTGAACATTTTAGCAACTACAATCAGTGTAGTTCAACCTAGAGCAGGGGTGGCGAACCTATGGCACGGGTGCCAGAGGCAGCACTAAGAGCCCTCTTTGTGGGCACGCGCCCCAGTCCTAGTCCTTCAGCTGGGTTGTATAAAACCTTTTCGCTTTAGGCCTCCGCCGCCGTGTACACACACACAAAAAAGGTTCAATCAATTAGTCAATTTCAACTTCTCGAGGGAAAAAAAAAGATCTTGCATTGTGTAGTTCAACCTAGAGCAGGGGTGGCGAACCTATGGCACGGGTGCCAGAGGCAGCACTAAGAGCCCTCTTTGTGGGCACGCGCCCCAGTCCTAGTCCTTCAGCTGGGTTGTATAAAACCTTTTCGCTTTAGGCCTCCGCCGCCGTGTACACACACACAAAAAAGGTTCAATCAATTAGTCAATTTCAACTTCTCGAGGGAAAAAAAAAGATCTTGCAAAGTTGGAATTGATTGATTGAACTTTTTAGTCCCACCCAGTCTGCTGTTACCACCGCAGCCATGCCCACCCAATGGGCCACACCCACCTGGCACCCGACGATACATAAGTGGGTTTTGGGTTGCAGTTTGGGCACTCGGTCTTTAAAAGGTTCGCCATCACTGACCTAGAGAAAAGGGTTATTCCTGCGGAAAGTTTCCCAAATGAGTACAGAATCCTGTTTATCATAGCCCTCAGTGGAAATGATCAGGACTCAAAATATTAGTGGAGATATTTTCACATCAGAACAAGGACTATGTAACATTAGAGTACTTCATCCTCCCCGGATGCTCTTAACACAGGGTTCTTCAAACTTGGCCCTTTTATGACTTGTGGACTTCAACTTCCAGAATTCCTCAGCCAGGCACGCGTGCCTGGCTGAAGAATTCTGGGAGTTGAAGTCCACAAGTCATAAAAGGGCCAAGTTTGAAGAACCCTGCTCTAACAGCAAGACTGAGTCAGGAGCTGCTGAACCCCCGATTCATTAAAAAGTTGTAGGCAGTTTCATAAGGTCTCAACCAACCCAGCAAGTTTTTAAGACCTCACAATGGTTAATGGATAATTGAGATGATACAATTTGCCTTGGGTATCACCTGCATCTGTCCAGCCAACCTTTTCTCTCTTCTCTCCCCCCCCCCCATCACTCCAGATGCTCCATGCAACTGAAGAAGGAAGCTGCATCTCACAAAAGCGGCTGCCTTTTAATAAAATGTGTGAATCAGAAAAGGTACGGTCAGACTCTTTTGTCATTTTTGGCTACCCTAGACCAGCACAGCTCTCGCTTCCCAGAAAGTAAACATCGTAGCTGCTGAGGCTTAGAAGTCATCATTTCTTGAAGATTTGGGAGAAGTTATCTGTTATTTACCGCAACATCATCTTTTAACTTCACAAAAGCCCTGACCAGCTAATATTCAGTATTTAAGTATAATGAATGAATAAAGGAAGGAAGGAATGACTCTGTCTGTCTGTCTCTCTATTATCCATCCATCCATCCCTATCTTTACCTTATCATCCATCTAGCTCTGTCTGTCTGTCTGTCTGTCTATCTATCATCCATCCATCCTTACCTGTACCTTATCATCCATCCATCTGTCTGTCTGATTGTCTGTCTATCATCTCTCTGTGTGTGTGTCTCTCTCTCTCTATTATTCATTCACCCCTCCGTCCACCTTCCTATCTTTACCTTATCATCTGTCTATCTAATCTGTCTCTCTCTCTATCATCCATTCATCCTTATCTGTACCTTATCATCCATCCATCCATCCGTCTGTCTGTCTGTCTGTGTATTATCTCTCTCTCTCTCTCTCTCTCTCTCTCTATCATTCTTTCACCTCCCTTCACCTTCCTATCTTTACCTTATCATCTATGTATCTATCTATGTATCTATCTATGTATCTATCTATGTATCTATCTATGTATCTATGTATCTATCTATCTATCTATATATCTATCTATCTATCTATCTATCTATCTATCTATCTATCTATCTATCTATCTATCTATCTATCTATCTATCTATCCCCTCCATCTCTCCCTCAATTTCTCATTTCTCTCTCTCTCACCCCATCCATCTGCATATCTTTCTGCTTCCTAGCCCAAAGACAATGCTAAAGCTTCCCCAGGCAGACTGTTTCTGCAAAAGAAATTAAAACATTCCAAATAATCCATCTATAGACTTATTCTTTTTTTAAAAAAGCATAATAATTAACAAACAAGATCAACTGCCTTTGAAAGTAGATCAGATTTAGAGTCTTCTCTGAGGGCAAAGACTATTTTTCTAACTTTCTAATGCAGCATTTTAATGCTGTGTATCAAGTTTATCGATCAGCAATAAACCAGTTTATGGAAGGTGTGGATGTTGCTGCTAATAATCCTCTAATATATTTAAGAATGTGTTCTCTGTCAAGGAACAATAAGATTCCATCAGCCTGGTTGTATCCCTGCAGAGGATATAAATCTTCCTCTTTTAATTGGCCTGGCTCCTCTCTCCTGTGGATTTGAGAACGAGTTCTTCAAATCTGCTACAGGTCACTGGATCTCCCCTCAAGACAGCTGAATGCAGAAATGGTCCCCAAGAAAATCTCTGATCATTGTCCTAAGTGACAGGGGAGACTTAATTGATGAATGGACACCGCAGCTTAATAGATTATTCCCAGGAATCCCAATTTTTCGCTAGCAGGTGTGTGTGGATGCAAGCAAACATGTGCACACATGCATACAAATATTCAATGGAGGGAGTCCCTGGTGCTTTATGAGCGTGGTGGTTTTCTTGCAGATGTTTCATTACCCAACTGATGATGTTAGCTAGTTTGTTACCTAGAAACGTCTGCAAGAAAACCACCAAGCTCAGAGAGCAACAAGGACCCCCTCATGTCAACTACAAATATTCTCTTAATTATTCTATTGTTTTATATCAGGCCAGCTATTTCTGAGTGCCAAGGCCTCCGGTTTTATCCGTGGGCGTCAACATCTGCTGTATAAGACTGGACCTTAGAAATCAGCAAGATTTTGCCATGGACAAAACCAGTTAAGGGTTTTGAGGATGCTAATTACATATTGATTATTTTCTAGCATCTGTCGGCTGCTTTTGTTCTATTTGCTGCCTGATAAATGAGAGAGAGAGAGAGAGAGAAAGAGAGAGATACAATTATCTTAAAAAATGGTAGAGCCATTTAATGTAATTTTTCATATCCCCCATTTAGCTATATGCTGCGGTGAAGTACATACACACCTGGGAGTTCAATACATTTAGTCAAGCTACGGTCTTTGTGGTTACAAGAATGATTTAAAATGGAAAAAATCCCACCTCCACCCCCATAGCATCTTGGTTTTTAAGTTAATTAATTTTGGTTTATTTAATATCATTTATTTATTCAGTTTCAATAGTGTTTTAATGTTTGTGCCTCTCTTTCTATGATGTTTATAAGCCACCCAGAATTTCTTGTCAGTGAGATGGTGGCATATAAATTTAATAAATAACAAATAAAATAAAATATAGATTTGTTCAGAGATGGACATTATTTTGCTCCACAGAGCACCCAAAGAAGTTTTTCCAAAAAGCAACTGGACTTCCTTGTTTTTTTTTTTCTTTGAAAACATTTCGCTTCGCATCCAAGAAGCTTCTTCAGTTCTGGCTGAATGGTGAGGAATGGAAGGATTTATACTCCTTGCAGACAGCTGGTTGTTAACACTCTGAAGATCAATGACTGCAAAGAACAGGGGTCTTCAAGCTTGGCCCTTTTATGACTGGTGGACTTCAACTCCCAGAATTCCCCAGCCAAGCACACTGGCTGAAGAATTCTGGGAGTTGAAGTCCACAAGTCATAAAAGGGCCAAGTTTGAAGACCCCTGGCAAAGAATATAAACCCTTCTATTCTCCACCATTCAGCCAGAACTGAAGAAGCTTCTTGGATTAGAACTGAAAAGTTTTCCAGGAAAAAAACAAGTTAAGTCCAATTGCCTTTTGGAAAAGCATCTTTAGGGTTAGGGTTATTGTTAGTCTTGGTCACCTAGACAGATTGGAATAAATCAATAGAGTTGCTGGTATCAACATTAGTAAATCTCCTTTGAATCCAAGGTAATTCCCTGATGATTGAAGAATGCAATCCTATGGCACTGCAATTGCCTTCTGTTGGCTATTTGGGGGCTTTCGAGTCTAATCATAATCCTGGTATTCCTTACGTCTTGATTCTAGATCCTAATCGTGACCTTCCTTAGTTTCAAAACTTGGAGAAGTCAATTTGATTTTATCACTCCGATCAACATTAATATATTAGTGAAGCCAGCTCATCTCCTCCAAACAGGCCATTAGATAGATAGATAGATAGATAGATAGATAGATAGATAGATAGATGGATGGATAGATAAATAGACAGACAGACAGACAGACAGATAGATAGATAGATATGACGGATGGACAGACTAGATAGATAGATAGATAGATAGATAGATAGATAGATAGATGATAGATAGATAAATAGATAGATATGATGGATGGACAGACTAGATAGATAGATAGATAGATAGATAGATAGATAGATAGATAGATAGATAGATGATGGATGAATAGACATAGATAGATAAATATAGATAGATATAAGAGATAGATAGATAGATAGATAGATAGATAGATAGATAGATAGAGATAATGGATGGATAGATGACTAGATAGATAGATAAATAGATAAATAGATAGATAGATAGATAGATAGATAGATAGATAGATAGATAGATAGATGATGGATGAATAGACATAGATAGATATAGATAGATATAAGAGATAGATAGATAGATAGGTAGGTAGGTAGGTAGGTAGGTAGGTAGATCTTGATGTGGACAGTTTGGATGACCCAAAGGTGCTCTTCCAAAAGGCAACTGGAATTTCTCAGAACTGAAGAAGCTTCTTGGATGAGAAGTGAAACATTTTCAAAGAAGAAACAAACAAACAAAAAAGTCCAGTTGCCTTTTGGAACAAGCATCTTTGGGATAACCACGACCTGGATGGCTGAGAATCTCCACAGATGTTCCTCCATGAGGCAATCTTCTGCTTTCCAGAAAGGAGGCCCTTCCTGGATTTCTCCAAACGGTTGGCTCTTGGTCCTCGGACACTTACGTCTCATCAGTGAAGGCAATCCCGAAGTATTCCTTTTCTTTCAGGTTGAAATGGGATGCTACCAGATCTAGCAGCTCCTTGGATAAAAGCTTGGGCTGAAAGAGAGAGACAACAAAGAACACGCTCAGACAGATAGCAGCACGGTGGAGAAAGGCGAGGAGGAGGTTCAAACAAGGGATGGGGGACTGGTATCCTCAACAGGACATGCGCACAGGGATAGCGACATTGGCCAGAGCTGATGAGACAAGACTGATTGAGCCAAGCCCCCCAGGTACATTCATAGGTCACAGTGCTGAGCCATGCACCTCACAATGCCTGGTGGTTTCCAAGTCCTTCCAGAAGCCATCAAGAATGACATTTGGTTTCTAAGCCTGTGCACGTGCACACACATGCACATGTGATATGGAGTGTAGAGGCACAACTGAGAGCCAGCTGATCTTCTCCCGCTGAAATTAATCACCTTTTCAAGGACAAACGTCCACCCATATTAGTAAGTGGAGAACCCCTAGGCTAAGTAAGATAGATAGATAGATAGATAGATAGATAGATAGATAGATAGATAGATAGATAGATAGATAGATAGATAGATAGATAACAAACCATGCCACTTCTCCACAGTTGTAATCTTTTCCTTCCCTGAATAGCTTTTAATCTAGCTCAGTGTTTCTCAACCTTGACAATTTTAAGCCATGTGGACTTCAACTCCCAGAATTCCACGTCAGAGGGTCTTCAAACTTGGCAACTTTAAGCTAGCTGAGGAATTCTGGGAGTTGAAGTCCACAAGTCTTAAAGTTGCCAAGTTTGAAGACCCTGCCCTAGTGGAATGAAAAATATGGTGTTCTTTAGGAGTTCTCAGTTAAACTACCAAGGATTCACATTCTGGAGAGTCCTAGCAACACAGTGGCAAGCCAACATGGTTTCCCAGCACTGCGATCTGGCTTCGAGGGACCTTCACTTAGAAGAGAGCTCGAGAATCAAAGAGCGGTGGACCTTGTGGACTAGGAGTTTGGCTTTTACTTTTAGTCTTGTCTACACACTGAGAGTTGAAGTCCACAAGTCTTAAAGTTACCAGGTTTGAAGACCCCTGGACTAAGCAGAAGTCAACAACATGTATTGGGATGCCAAACGATGCTGGGAAAATACAGGGAGTCCTCAACTTACAACTGTTAGTTTAATGGCCGTTCAAAGTGACAACAGTCCTGAAAAAAGGGACTTGTGACTCTTTTTCACACTTGTGATCGTTACAGCCTCCCTGTGGTCACGTGATCAAAATTGAGATGCCTGGCCACTGATTCATATTTACGACGGTTGCAGTGTCTCGGGGGGGGGTGTCACAGGATCCCCCTTTGTGACCTTCTGGCAAGCAAAGTCAACGGGGGAAGCCAGTTTCACTTAACCATCGTGTTGCTAATTTAAGAACGGCAGAGATTCACTTAACCACTGTGGCAGGAAAGGTTGTAAAATGGGGCAAAACTCACTTAAAACAAGGCTCTCACCTAGCAACAGAAATTTTGGGCTCAATTGTGGTCGTAAGTCGAGGATTACTTGTATGTGGGGCAACACTTGTTTAGGGACTCAGTTTTGGACTATGAGTTTAAAACAGGGGTGTCAAACTCAATTTCATTGAGGGCTGCATCAGCATTGTGGTTGCCCTGGGGGGGCTGGGGGTGTGTGGCCAGGGTGAGTGTAGCCTACTGGGTGGGTGTGGATGGAGTGGATGCGGCATGGCCAGGTCTACATCATTCGCGTCAAGGATGCCTATGGGGGCCTGGGCAGGAGTGGGACAGATCTGAGGGTCTCTGGCAGAAGGGGGTTGGACCGGGGCAAACGCCAAGGCATGGTCCACTGGAGGAGCCTCACTGTTCCTCTCAGGCCATGTGGGGGGGGGCTGGATAGTGGCACGGGCTGCCCGGAGCCCTGGGCAGCAGAGGTCAAATGCCCAGCCTGGCCCTCAAGCACCTGCGGCACCAAGTTGTTTCCAGACAGCCTTGTGCAGCTAAGACATAGATGGCCACCACAAAATTGTACATTGGCTCCCAGCTGGCCTGGACTAGGGCCAAGGCAACGGGGGGGCTGTTCCCTCACTGTTTCCAGGATGGCTTCACGGATCACATGAAACTTCTTCATGGGCTGCATCCGGCCCCCGGGCCTTGTGTTTGATGTGTCTGCTTTAAGAGGTGGGTCAAATGCCCCTGGAAGACATCACCTCAGTTCAGACCTTCTTCTTTGCCATCATTCCACCTTGGTTCCTCAAAGTGAAGCCTGAAGTGGGTTGCCTTGAGTTGGTTGGTCTCCACAATGGAAAAAGGGCCTCTGCATTCCTATGAACCTGTTTTAAGTTGGGAGGGGAGGCAGTTTCAAATCAGGGCTTTGCTTCAGAGAGGGACTGTGATGGAAACTTTGTCCAACTAGGCCAGGGGTAGGCAACCTTGGCTCTTTTATGACTTGCGGACTTCAACTCCCAGAATTCCTGAGCCAGCCTGGCTCAGCTTGGAAACCTCTCCCTTTCCCCTCAGCATGGCTGGCTCAGGAATTCTGGGAGTTGAAGTCCACGAGTCATAAAAGGGCCAAGGTTGCCTACCCTTAAACTAGGTGTTTCTTTGAAGCCTCCACGACTAGGCAGCAAACAATCTGTTTTCGTTATTTGCTGTTCCCTTGAAGAAACCGCACTATTCCAGGGAATGCAGACAAACCCAAGCATTCCAGGCAAAGCGGCTGGAGATAAAAAGGACAACTGAGGCATAGTATTTGGAAGACAGCCTTCGCTTGCTAGGGTGATTTTCTTGAATACTTGAACGAGTCCGTGTCAACGGGTATGTATTAAATGGAGGCACTGAATAGATAAATAAATAATGGGAATAACATGCCCAAATGCCTCCCTCAACAGATGTGTTGAGCTACAATTCCCACACAAGGCAGGGAGTTAGAGAAACTAGAGATAACAAAAGTCCACTTGTAGACTTGTCTTTACTCTGCCGACATTTGACTTACAAGAAAAGGAACTGGCCCTTGAAATACAGCAGTCTGGTTTTCTCGGAGATAGAGAACCCACCACCGCCATGACCTTGACTAGTCTAGCTTACCACAGGAATACACAACTGATGTTCTCTAGCTAGGACAAGCTTCCATGAGCTAGGACACCTAGATGACAATGGCAAGGGGTTGTGGGAATTGCGGTCCAAAACTATCAGCTTGCTTACCGTAGCTCCCCAATGCATAAGTAAACTGCAATACAAAAATGTGTATAGTTACTGAGAGCAGATCTGCAACCAACCATGCCCTAGAACATCTCCAATGAGTCAGAGGGTTCTCGTTGACCGAGCAGGACAAATTTTTGAAAACATCTGAGCATCCTCCCCATTTCTAAAGGAAATTATCTTTCAACAGTGACTGCATGATATTAGTTAGGAAGGAGAAAAGTGTGATTAGCCCAAGGGGTCAATTATTTGAAGAACTTCCTGATTTGTAACTCAACGTCCTCTATTGCACTTTTGTTATGTACTTACCATGGATCAGTCTCATTAAATTAGAGGGACACACTTTTAACCAAACACACCAAGGAATCTGGGTTAGTTTCAAGCCACCAACTGTAATCATTGTGCAAAAATAAAGTCTCCCTTGAGTTGACTTTGATCACGGGATGGAAATTGTCTTCTCCATGCCTTCTTTAGGAATATCTCTTTGAGTTCCCAGTCTAATCGATAGATACAGTAAGTCCTCAAATTACAACCATTTCTTTAGTGACCGTTTCATTACAGCTATATCACTTGTTGTTTGTATGTTATGATTGTAACTATGATTTATGATCTATGACCTATCACTTTGTTGTTGCATGTGTGTACACTAAGAGCTTAGGCACTGGAGACAAATTCCTTGTGTGTTTAATCATACTTGACCAATACAGAATTGAATTCTATTCTATTCTATTCTATTCTATTCTATTCTATTCTATTCTATTCTATTCCATTCCATCCCATCCCATCCCATCCCATCCCATCCCACATCCTATTCTATTCCATTCCATCCCATCCCGCATTCTATTCTATTCTATTCTATTCTATTCTATTCTATTCTATTCTATTCTATTCTATTCTATTCTATTCTATTCTATTCTATTCTATTCCATCCCACATTCTATTCTATTCTATTCTATTCTATTCTATTCTATTCTATTCTATTCTATTCTATTCTATTCTATTCTATTCTATTCTATTCCATTATTTTTTCATGCCATTCCATTCTGTTACAATAGCACTGAAAAGAGTAACTTATAGCTATTTTTCATATTTATGACCATTGCAGCACCCCCATGGTCACGTGATCAAAATCCAGAGGCTTGGCCACTGACTCATATTTATGACAGTCATAGTGTCCCGGGGTCAAGTGATCCCCTTTTGCATCCATCTGACAAGCAAAGTCAATGGGGCAGTCAGATTCACTTAACAACCGTGTGACTAACTTAACAACTTCAGTGATTCACTTACCCCCTGTGGCAAGCAAGTTCGTAAAATGGGGCAAAACTCACTTAACCAATGGCTCACTTAGCAACATAAATTTTGTGGTCGTAACTCGAGGTCTCCCTGTATTCAGAAAGAATCATCCCTCTACCATGCTGTAGCAGTGGCAGCTACAGTAATCTAATACAGTTGTAACCCAGGAGCAGCTGTTGCATGGAGAAATGTGGCCTTTCCTGAGTTCATTATAAGCCAGGGGTCTTCAAACTTGGCATTTTTAAGACTTGTGGACTTCAACTCCCAGAATTCCTCAGCCAGCATGGCTGGTTGAGGAATTTTGGGAGTTGAAGTCCACAGGTCTTAAAGTTGCTAAGCTTGTAGACCCCTGTTATAAACCAAATCAGGGCAGAGGTAGAGAAGCTCTTCCTGTCTCCTACAGATGTACAGAGTAGCCTGTGGGGTGCAGGTGCCAGTGCAACAGGTTCCCCCATACCAGGGGTAGGCAACCTTGGCTCTTTTATAACTCGTGGACTTCAACTCCCAGAATTCCTGAGCCATCATGGGGAAAGCTTTGGCCCCTTCATGACTTGTGGACTTCAACTCCCAGAATTCCTGAGCCAGCATGGGGAACACTTTGGCTC